TATCACCCCTGCACCGCTGACCCTCATTCCAAAAGAATGTGCTGGTTGGGCGACATAACAGGTTATCGCTACTGTGTATTCCAAAAACATTGTGCATCTTTCAGTATTAATTTATCTCAAAACCCAGCATTTTAATTTCTCAGAAACGATCATTGCGGGAAAATTGTGTGCTGGGACTAAGATTTTTTAAGGATCGATGCGATAAAACGATAGTTCGAGGAACGATAGAAGCGGGAAAATGTAACATTATTTTATATGGGATGTATTCGGGACCGAACAAAACGGACGATGCATCCGGGAAAACGATAGTTCCGGGAACGATGGATAGAGGTTTCACTGTATATATAATTAAGAGCCCTAAAACATGAGTTACATTTTCATTTGCAATATTGTGACATAGTCATGGATAAACTTGTATGATATATCATGATCTTTTTCATTTTAGAATCAAAGAGTGTGACACTGTCAGTGAACATAGATGAAATCAAGAAGGTTCTAATCCACTTTGGGCGGGGAATGCCAGTCTTATTTTTCTACATTGTTGCAACAGCTGCAGCAAGAGTAAGAACCGCGTTAAATATGGAATCCAAGCTTGGACCTTACTATGACCCAACCAGTCAAGGTAATTAAAACATGCACATACAAAAATATAAAAGTTTGATATTTTAAGGTAACTTATTTATTTTATATTGTCACTGAACAGTAGAAAGATCCAAACGCCCTACCGTGTCATGTCTTGTGACATATATGTGGAGCTGTATACTTGGAAGTATTTCTGTATTTGTAAGATTATTCTTTAAAATTAGAAGTTTAACAGGGAAATATTGATTCAAGATCTTTCCTAAACAGTTAATAATAATGTGGTGATCAAAGTATCCCTTGTGATTGTGGAACACTAATGTTGATAATCACAAAAAAAACTATTTTTGTAGGAGGATAATGGAAACAATATTTGCATTCACAAATATATGTAATCTTACAAATTTGTATTAGTATTTGTATTAGGCGTATTGGTCTGCTGTTGATCTGAATTTGGTATGAACTAAATTGTGTTAACAGTAAATTATTTACAGATTTTAATAAAATATAATTTTGGTATTTACAAAAGTCCTCGGTGAAATTGATAGAGACTACTTGAGAGTAAAGTGGGTGGAAAGAAGATTGTTTACCCAGAATTTGTAGAAGCAATCAAACTTTATTTTTTGACATTTCTTTCACAAGTTGGCACCTCCTACCCCTTACTGATTTGTTTATTCATTTATTTATGGTTCTGGATACATTGATTTCTTCTTGTAACCATTTGATGTGGCTGATTGCCCAAGAAGATTTTATTGAATATGAAACATTTTTAAAAAATATTTTTCTACAACCTCTGTTCATCACTCATGTGACGTGCTAACTTATTAACATCTTAAGTTATAGAATGATTGAGTCTTAAAGGTGTGGCACTTTTTGAAAACTCTAGCTATATATGTATCTTGACATGCTATAGTTGCGTGAAACCTGCCACATTTTATGGAATTTAGTATTGGGCTACTCTTTCCAAATGTCAGTTTAAAGATATTAGCCCATATTATAAATGCCTCTTGCAAGTATTAAATTTAGGCAAAGTTGAAGTTTTCAGGTAGGCATGATGTAACAGTCACACTAATGATATATGATACTCGTATTTTTAATACAGTTAACTATTTTCATTAAGTTTGTAAGAGCACATCAATGAACCTTATGCAATCTGTCAGCCAAAAAAGAAATTAGTATTCAGATAAACTATTTATTTTGTACAATTCAGTTTAGAGTGGTTTGTTTTAATTTGGAGAGGACATTGAACTTAGGAACTTGGATTATCTGTTTTTCAGATGAGACACAGCGAAGAATAACATTGCTTCCAGAGAGGTTACATGAGGATAATAAAGTAGCTTTAAAGAATATTTTTGGCTCGTTAACTAATGTGTTGGAAGAGTTGAGTAACAAGGAGGCAAATGATATTCTGGTCAGGGCCTCACCTAAAGAGGTAAGTTTGTTGCAGGTATTATTGGCAGGTTACTATGTTAAGGTCACAGATCACAGTCTTATATAGGAGAAACATGGCACTTGTCTGTAAGAGAAGTAAATACCTGTGACATGGGCAACTGATGTGTGCTTACATATCCCCCCAGTAACTCTTGTGGATTGTAGTTGTGATGCATTAGCTCTGAATCTGGTTTTAATGTTACACAGTACAAATCCTGCATTGCTGGGTTACAAATGAAGCACATGCTACATTTTAAGATAGACAGGAAAAAATAAAAGCAACTGGCAGTTTCTGAAATTTGAGGATCTGACAGTGATAAGTGCTGGCCACAGCGGCTGCACGATCTGAGGCGTGGGTCTCATGCGCTTGGACACTGTGATCATGGGTTCAAATCCCACTCAAGGCATGGACGTTTGTCCGTGGTTTGTGTTGTGCTGCCCTGTGTACAGGTAGAGGCCTTGTAAAACCCCCAAAAGGAGGCACCTAATGCTCTGTGAGGAGCAAAACTGTTATAAGAAGAAGACTGTGATAAGTATCAGGATGGCTGCCTTCCAGTAGTCTCGTAGATATTGGTTGACATTTAGAACAAGGCAAATACATCATACATTACATACATATATAAACACATTAATATTTATTGTTAATTTGTAGTCTACTTAATCTTGTTAACCAGTTATGCAGAAGTAATCTGCATTGACCAACTCTACTTAGTAAACACTAATGTACATCTGGCCCCTAGGATTATTTAATAAGTAGAAGACCGCATTAGTCACACATTATAATCAAGAATGTAATATAAGAACTTAGATATTAGATTCCACTTTTCCCTAATATTTTATAACCACCGGATGATAGCCTTTTAAGACTGAAATGTGTAGTGGTTTTTGTGTCTTGATTAAATATCTTAATACAGTTTGTCAACACAAACCATATTAAGATATTTAATTTAGGCTACTTATAATTGGTCATTTTCATTTTAGGAGAGCTTACTGCCTCCTCTGAAATGTTGGTGGTCAGTATCTACCATTGATACTAATTTATTAACACTGCCGACTGATAAGATTAATCCTGTATCCACGGCCTTTGTTTATTTATCTGTAAATGATTATGTGTGTGGTCAGTGCCGCCGTTGTGACTACTGCTTACCGTGGTCGGCATTGTGCAGCTGATATGAAAATGGAGTTAATGATAGGACAGTTCTGATTACTTACAAGTATGTTTTATGAACTTGGTTAAACTCATATATTTTCAGGTTCAGAATATGATGAAAAAAGCAATTGGTGTGTCTCCATTGAAATGCAAGGATGAAATTCAGACGTAAGTTTCTTTGACATTTTTTAGAAATAGAACAACTTTCAAGATGAAGTTTTATATGAAACATGTACAAAGTTTGAGGTTCTCACTGTGGTGAAGATGCCCATGTTCTGGTTTGTAACACCATGTAGAATTGTAGGTAGGTACAATTGTTTTGGAGAAATATATTACTTCCATCTAAATGGCTGAAGATGGAGGCAGTATGTTTCTCTAAAATGTTGGTATTTACCTACAATACCACATCGTGTTATAACCCAGAAAACTGGCATGGGTATACCAAGCAGTTTCTTTATTTTGTAATACTTGTGTTAAAATTTGGATGTTGAAGCAACTTACTGCTTCTCCATCTGCACCATTCTGTCAGCCTTTGCAGACCTCAGTGACATCAACATTTCATCTTACATTTTTTCTACTGTGTGGTCCACTTTTTTAAAACATGGCCATCAAAAATAAATTGAATATTCTAAATATAAAATGAGCCCCATTTGTGTTGACCTTGGGGGAATGTACTTTCATCGTTTGTAGAAGAGAAATGGGTTTAAAGGTTCCATGTTAATAAAAGCCACATTTATGATGAAATATGTCTGTCGTGTATCTTTATTGAGATGTTTTCAAGTCACATTTGGAAGAAAATAGGAGTTGGCGCCACAGTTTAAACTTGTGCCCTGCTTGTGAATTTTATTTTAACCTGTTTCTTGCTTACCCTCAGAATCTTGGTTTATCCACCACCACCTTCAAAGGGAGGAATTCCTATAAATACTGAAGACTATGCCTGCCTGGGTGAAGACCAGTTTCTTAATGATGTCATTATAGACTTTTATTTAAAGTGAGTATGTTGCTTCTTTCTAGTTTGCAACACAATACAGAATAATACAAAATAATTGGAACATATTTAGATGTATATGCCTTACTTATTTTACTGTTCAACACAAAACTCAAAGAAGTGCCTTGTACCTGAGTACTTCAGGTATATCTCCTTGCATATTTTATTTGTGGCATCTTATCACTACTGGCGCTGCAATTGTGAAAATTAATAATGGTGATCTTTGCAGGTGTGGAAAGAATGTGGTGTTTGTTTTGGTTTGAAGACACAAAGTGTGCAATATAAATGTAGGGCACCTTATGAAGAATATGGCCTGATTTTATGTTCAGTGGAACCCCATATTCACACTTTTGTAGGGCTTGTTTGAAAAGGTGTAAATTGTGAGAAAATGTAAATCGCAGAAGTGACAGAAGTCGTGAGCTTCATACTGTAGGACCAGCAAAATCTAAAACCTGTGTTAGGTGTCAGAATGTTGTCTCTCCCAACCTTCCCCAAGCTGAACGGCCATGTTATACTGATGTTGAATCTTAAGATGGTTTATCTCTGCATTGCAAAATGATTGTGTATCTTTTTTGTCACATTTATTTTGACAACAGTAAGACCAAAAGGCAGAATGTTTAGCATAGCAAAGGAGGAAGAGAGGTGTGGAAATGGGGTCTTCACATATTTTCCAGGGTTTTAGATCCGTTTGCTATAGTAACCTTCACCTTGACCCTACATTGGATTGCTTCGCAAATAGAACAGGTAAACTGTCAAGCAACTTATAAATGTTTTATGACGTGTAATTGCACAGCATCTAAGAATATACAATATAATTATGCACAGTGAAATTAGTTCTTTAACAATGGAAGTTTTTTAGCTGAATAAGCTATGTATTTACTTGTAAGACTTGAGGTTCTCACAGCGGTGAGTATGAAGATTTCCGTCTTCTGGGTTGTTGCGCTGTGATGAATATTCATCGCCCTGATGACGGAGGCAGTATGACCTCTGAAACGTTGGTTAACATCGACCACACTACACAGCGCAACAACCCAGAAGACGGAAATCTTTATGTATTTACTTGTTCAAAAAATATGTGGTGACTTCCACACATACGCATTTTATTCATTGACATGACAGTCTTTGACTGTAATGTTTAGAGTTGATGCTGATAATCCAAGTTATTTTGTCAGTGTAATACAAGAATCTATTTGTACGTCAACATGCCATAATGCGTTAGGCTTTTCATTCCTTTTGTGTTGCCATCAAAGCATGTAAATTCAGATGAACAACTGCAGTGCACACAGTAGACTCAGCTAACAGGTTAAACAAGGTATTAATAACAGCTAACATGAAAGCAGTCATACATTGTAAGCAAAAATTATTCTTGAAAGGTGGCTGTTAACGTGTTATTTAAATGGTCAAAGAGGCTGTTTCTAGTGTTACACCTTACATGTTAAAATGAGAGTAGATAGTAGACTGCTGTTTAAATGTGTGCTGTGTTACTGGGGATGTCATAGAGATGCAATAATTGTGTCAAAGAAACAGGCTATTTAAGGTTGTGTGTTGAGTTTTGTGTTGAACACTAAACTGTTCAGCTTTCCATGACTTGAGATTCTTACAATAGCAAAGATGAAGAAGAATGATATTGGATGTGGTCTTCTGTGTAGTCTTGTGGATTGTTACCATTTTAGGAGGAATGTATCACCAACATCTATAGGATACATCAATTCCTCTATAATGTTGGTAACCACCTGTAAGACTGCATTATGACATGGAAAACTATATTGTTCAGCAATTTCATATTACCAATGTGTAGGTCAATATTAAACAACGCTATACATGAAGGTCTATGAACATTTTACTTAAAAATTAAAATCCGTGGTGTAACAGCTCCAGAGAGCCAAAGCCGACTAGCTTGACTGCTGGCCTCACATTCACATGCCTAAGCAGAGGTGAACGATCGTCCAACCAGATATAGGGTGACGTGTGGTCAGCACGATGAACCCCCAGCCATTGCTAGCTTTCCTGACTGGATTACGCTACCCACTGTAGCTCCCCAATTTCCTCACGATGCTGAGTTGGCACCGGTCCCATACACTGGTTGAAAGCTCATGAGAAAATTTCTTCTCCCCCGAGACCCGAACCAGCGCACATTCTGTATCACCAGTCCGAAGCATGATGCCTCAGACCGCGCGGCTATGGCAGCACATTTTACTTACATTTCTTTAAATATCTGACTGAAAAATGTTACACATGAAAGTGCATGCCTCCATTTAGGTATATATGTTATGTTTGCATTCTCGTCACCTTATTATCTTTAAGATAATGACTGCCAAGTTCTAAAGCAGATGTCACAAATATGCATATGCTGAATGTGTATTACTATGGTATGTTGTTTACTTAACCACTCTTCTTTTAAAAAGAGATTGAGAATCTTCAAAATAAACTAAATAGCATCACTGGAATGTGAATTTATTTAAGTAAAGCACTTTCTTTAAAGTGGGTTTAATATAATTTAAATCAGTGACAGGGATTTTTCAGTTTGTCACCATCTCCATAACATTTCTGTGGCTCACCCAATCTGCAGTCTAATGGGTACAGGGGGGATGTTTTTCCCAAGGGTACATTGGCTGAAGCATGAAGTAGACCACTTACCTCAATCTAGTCCTGAGAATGCATGAAGCCTACCATATAGTACAGAATCACTGGGATTCTGTGTCAGTTTATTTTACAAAAAACATTTTCCAAAGTGGTATCTAATATGAGATTCTCTGATATTGTCATCCACTTAAGATCATAATTTTTTTTCAATGGTCTAAATATGTAGTTAAAATAGCTATTTGAATTTATGAGTGTTCTGTGGAAAATATTTTAACTGCATATATTTTATTTTTAAGGTATCTGACTCTCTCGGTACTGAATGAAGAAGATCAGTCGCGTACCCACGTCTTTAGTTCATTTTTTTATAAACGACTGACAACTCGCCCTGTAAAATCACTTAGGAGATCACATCCAGTTGAAGATGATCCCAAGTTATCACCAGCAGAGAAAAGACACAGTAGAGTTAAAAGTTGGACGAAGAATGTCAACATCTTTGAAAAGGACTTTATTATAATACCTATAAATGAACAGTAAGCTAACTCCATATTGTATTGATTTAATATTGTTTTAACATAGCTTAGCAAACACCGTGTGTTTGCATAGTTGGTTCTTTCATAACAATGCATTAACCTTTATTGTATATGGGTAGGAGCAGCTGGCTGGACTTTTAACACTAGGGTTTAATGGTTTGGACATGGTTAGTTAGACCATGCATAAACCATTGCACATTGGTAAAGGTTAACTGTTTAATTAAAGATCTTAGATTGATTATATATTAAGATACTTCTTAACCTTTACTTAAAGATTGGGTAAATCATAAGTAAAACAATATTAATAATAATTAGAGTCCGAGGGCTTGAAGTATGTATTTCTGAGGCCATGCTGTGTCACAGGTATTAGATGCTGGCTTCTCACTGTTAAGGCCTGGATTTGTGGACAGTAGCATTGGGACAGGTTTTCCTCTGAGTCCTTTGGTTTTTTCACTGGTGCTCCATATTCGTGTGGAGGATAGACAGTGGGCCTGGTACTAGCCACAGCTGTACAGAGCCATAGTTACACCCCATCTTAACGATAAAAGTGTATTTATTGGGTGAATTTAACACAGTTCTACTGTGCAAAATTGCCTTACCAAGAAAGTTACAATGAAATCTGAAATGTACAAATGCTTGAAGATAGAACCTGTATATTATAAATTAATGGGTGATTGATGAAAAGTACTTTATTTACTGAACTGTCACACCCATGTGTGTGTGTGTGTATCTGTGTGTGAAGTTCATGTGTTCAAAACTGGGTTTGTTTCTGGTTATTATTTGCCAAAATTGATGCATGTCTGTAGTTTTATATTGTGATGATCCAACTAGTATAACTCAAGGAAGGCAATACATATAAACATTTTTACAAGTTTCCATCATATAGCATGATTTAAGCCAGCAATGTGTCGCTCAGAGTTGCAGTAGTATTTTGATGGAACAAAGCACCGTGTTATGATTTTTGTGTGTTCATAATGTGCAGCATTTGTAGTACATGAATTACTACTGCAGTTTCTTGTGAAAGATATAAATGATAAGCAGCCTGAACTGGAGGCAGACAGAATAGCCCTGTTCTTGTCAGAATAAGTATATGAGTAGTTACCATCAAATAAATATTGAATTACAGTAACAGAAATTGCACTTGATACTGAAAGATAAATCAAGCTGAAGCAGCATTAATTAATTAATTACGTAAATGTGTAATTCTATACATTTTTTCTTGTTAAAGCTGCCATTGGTTCCTTGCAATCATATGTTTCCCTGGCCTGAGAGGGAGTGTGCGGTTTTCTGACAATACACCGATCGTTGTTCCAAGCATAAAGAAAATCAAGAAAGTTGTTCCAAAAAAGAATACAGGTAAGTACTGTGTGGAGTGTATATGTTGATTTTGTGTCTGGTTATCCCCGCTTTCCTGTATCCTGCTCCTCGTCTTCACATGAATATATACATGTTACACAAATGCATTCATTTATGGAATACATCACCAAGGATTAACAAAATACTAAATCTTGTTCAGGTATTTTATACTTGCATAATGTGGCATTAAAAATGTATTTCTAGCAGATAAACACCATTTTGGTAGGAAATAACAGGCCAAGCTATTTTGTCACAAACCTAGAAGTTCGGAGGGAATTCACTCTACCTGTATTTGGAAGTAGCCATATTTGCCTGCAGTGCTCCTGCCTTGGAAATTAATTCCTCCTCGTCATGCAGACAAGTCACAAAGAAGTTATTTGTCATAGACATAATTGTTTGTTTAATAAAGTTAATGTTTTCATCTGTAAGCTTCTGATTATATGTGATTATCTTAGATTCAAGGCTGTCTTATGTGCATTTAAGTGCAGAAAAAAATTGGAATATTAATAAAATCCTCATTATGAATTTTCTGTTTATTTTGCAATGTGTGACCATTTCATGGATTTGTGTACAGCTACAATTGAGGAATGTGTGAAGGGCAGTCTCCAGATTGGGTCTACAACTATCACTCCCATTAAGCCAACAGCAACGATAACACTGGATAATTGTGGAGAAGAAGGCTCAGACAGGGATGAAGCAGAAGCAGATGATGATGAGATGGAGCAAGGAACAAGTGATGAAGAAGTAATGAAATTATATTATTTACTACAATTAACATAACAGCATTGTAGGGTTTAATTTTTCTGGAGTTGTATCCATATGGAGTGGTGCTTGCCCATTTTAAGACTTTGTTAGCTGAACAGTGCATCAGATATTTGAGGTTCTTATGTTAGTAAAGATGTCACTTGTCTTATGGGTTGTAATGCTGAGTGGTCTTGTAGTCAGTTGCCAATGGCAAAATGTTTGCAGAAACACGTAGACAGAGGTAACTGCTTATTATCACAGCTCAGAAGACCACAGTCAGCATTCTCTCTGCAGTATTCACATTAGACATCATGTAGCTTTTCATACCTCACATCTTAAATGTGTTTCATTTTACCTTTGTAGCTTAAATAATTTTCACATAAGGCACTAGTTTGTTGCTGTAAAATTACCTCCCTACTTGCATTCTGCAGTTTCTAAGACACATGACATAAGTTCTGGCTTTAGTCACATTGGTGTGTGTAGATGTTAATTGTTGATATACTTACCACCTGTGCCTATGCAAGTGAACTGCATGTTCAGTGGTCCTTGTACAGTTCTGCATACTGGCATTGTCACCCCCCACCATCTCTCTCATTGTTAGGCCTGTCACTATGAAATTAAATTTCATCATATCATAGTTTGAGGTTATGGAACAAAAATGTATGTTCTCTAGTGAATGTTCTTTGAAATTAAGAGTTGAATAAAACTTCCCTCCCCTTCCCTCTGTTATTTGTGTGTTCAGTTACAAATTTCAAAAGTTTTAACTGATTGTCCAGGACGTACTGTCAGCCAGTCATCTTGAAACTCCACCTATTGAGAAACATCGGTTGTTTTCGGACCCTGCCCACGAGGAAATACCTATTACACCAGTGAAGCCAACTCCTGTGCCAAGAGGGAAAGGATCGAAGCCAACACGAGAACCTATCAAGCAGTAAGTTTTCATCTTTGTGATTTATGATAGCCAGGTATGTCCAAGCGTTATGAAACGAGGCATGTCCTAGGAATTGAATACTGTTTTATCTCTTTGTACTTTGTATATAACCTGGTAATGAGTGTTAAGTGATGTGATAGGAAGGACCAGCTAACCTGAAAGAATAACCACTCTTCAGTTTTCATACAAAAGTCATCATGTAGCTTGGCCTGAAATGTGGGTTTGTTATTGCTTCTGTCTGATTACTTTCATGCTTTATAAAAATAGGTGCTACTATTTTATCGTTACTTTTTACCAGAAAAAGATAAGCTTACAAAATCATAAAGCATTTCAGATAGATCAAATTACTATGGCCTTGATTAAACATAAATTGAAACAATGTTAACGTGTGGTGGGGATAACTTTTTTTAAGCTTTTTTCCTTTCTTAAAGGTAAAGTGGGCTTGAGAGATTGCTGTGCTGTCTGTGTGCGTACACACGCGTGCATGTTTCCTCATTTCAGCTTTTAAGTCACTTGGCAGATTTCCACAAATTAGGATATGGACATTGCATATTTAAGTCCATCGACCACCACAAACTTACAGTCCGTATTATCAGCATGGCAGATGACATAGTGCCACACACTATAGAATGCTGAAATTATGATATTAGTGACATCTTCAAAACGTATGAGACATTTGTTAAGATTTAAAATGATTCACAGCTGCTGTGGGGAAAATACTAACAAAAGGTGTGGCAGGAAATGGGTTATCAGTTGGATGTGTATTGGGTAACACATGGAGCACATACTGAGTTCTGTAAAGTATGTGAAGCTTTATACATGTAAATTGTTTATCATTGACATTAATTATATAATCGTGCACTAAATTTGTAAGAATTGTTATCAGTAGCCCTGTACAAGTTAAAATATAAGAATTTAAAATGGCAGCCAACAATTTTATGAGCTAGAAGTTATTAGTTTAAATTTGCTAAATTTATCCTATTCAATAATATCAGCAGCATGAAATTGGCTGATAAGTGAAGATTTTTTTCATCCCTGAGTGCAGTAGATATTTTCATTCCTTTTGTTTCAGACCTTGCATTCTAATCTTCGACTCGCTTGCAGGAGCAAGTAGGTCTCGTGTGGTGGCCACATTGCGGGACTATTTACGCATCGAGTACAAAGTGAAAGAAGGAAAGGACAGAGAATTTAACAAAGACACTATAAAAGGCAGCACACCCAGAGTGCCCCAGCAAACCAATTTCACAGATTGCGGGGTTTATGTTTTGCAATATGTGGAAAGTTTCTTTCAGGTAACATTAAGCAAGTTCTTTGCTTATTAGCTGACTGCAGTTTATTCTGTATTATTCAAGACAAATTACTTGCAAACAGTAAAGAAGCGCCTAAATCCAGTGCGACCTGCACTTTTGTCATTACATTATGAAATGGGAAAAGATATGTTTGAGTAATATGTTAGGATGAAATCGTTCAGAAGCTGCCCATGCTATCCTCAGGCACTTATTGTTTTGCCTGGGAAAATGTATATAATTTTTTCTTATTTTTAACAACGGTCATCTCCCCACGATAAGTAGATATGCGATTTGTGCGTCTGCAGTTTGCCCAAGTTTTGGGATGTGCTTGTAACATGTGGTGAAGGAACTTTTCTTCTCAGATGGTGTTTTGTGTTGCTGCCATTTCCTTTAAAAAAAGCTTTCTTTGTAACAAATGACGACACACGTGCCTTCGCTAGTTTGTCCTTCCAGTTTCAGAAGGTTTTTCTACCTCTATGTGGAATTTCAGTATATGTATAAATATAAGTGCTTGTGATGTTTACTTGGCAATTGTTACTTTTATAGGCCCCATTGCTGCCTATAACAGTTTTATTCTTTGAGATTTCTTATACAACTATTATTATCGCTTTATTATGTAACCTATAGCAATGTGGATATAACCAAAGTATTTGGGGTGTCTGTAGATGGAATTGTATGTAATAATCAAATGATTTTCATTGTGCATTCTCTGCATGAAGTGCATGAAATATAATAAGCATTATGATAAGGTCATGTGTGTGTTAAATCTCCAAAACTATTTGACAAATTTCAGTTTAATTTTTGAAGTGTTTTTAGATGTGACATTTAATGAAATGCAAGGAAAAAATAATTTATGATGTGCAGTGTGATTAAGTATGTCTGCAGTAAATTAATGTAAGGCTAATGAGGTATGAAGATTACAAAGATCACGTTTGAAAAATGTGTTTACTCCAAGTTATAGAACATCTTACCACCGTAGTTGTTCATGGAGAGGAAATGAGATCTAACACTGAAAAATTGAACACACTACATTTGTTCACTTTTCAGAAAGACTTGTGAGTGGTTTTTGGGTAGTAATGATATTAAGAACATATGTGCCTATAGCCAGGTGATGATATAGTATATATGTAGATTAAAGCCGAGATGGACTTTATGACATGCGGAAATTGCACTTGTATCCATGCAGTGTATCAGCTGGGGTAGCTCAGTTAGTGTAGTGTCTGAATTTGGACTGGATGAGCATTGATTCCTGGAAGGGCAAAGGATTTTTCTTCTACCCTCTACTTCCCGACCAGCTGTGGGTACTTGGGGTAAGGTGTGGCCAGGTCTTAATGCTGACCACTTGACCCAACCAGTGCCAAGGTCAAGAATGAGTAGAAGCTATACCTTCTCTCTTCCCAAGAGCATCCATGATGTGTAGCAGGATAGGTTTACTTCACTTTCATTCATGTAAACATATATATATATATACACAAATGAAAAATATTACTGTGTTGACTTCACATTTCACATTACTCATAGTATATATTAAAGGTGCCTCAGGTTTCATTTGAAGCCAGGACAGTTCAATCAGGATTGGGACTAGGCTGCATGCTTGACAACCAGTGTTCAATTCCGAGCAGGGGTAAGAGATATTTGTCGTAGCTATCGTGTCATGACTAGCTCTGGGGTAGCCCAGCCACCTATCCAGTGGGTACCAGGAGCTTTTCTCCTGGGGGTAAAGCAGCTGTGGTGTGAAGCTGATCATTCACCTCCGTCTAGTGTGGAGATCAGGAAAAGTAAATCTATACCGTTGCTTTCCTATATTCCTACATACTATGGTGCTTGGTTAAGCACCATGGTCAACTTTAGCTTTACCGCGGGCTTCATTTAGTATAGAGTAAGGTAAAGCGGTACTTTTTGCTGCTGCAGCCTGGATGCTCTCCAAGGGTGGTCCATGGGGAATATAACGAACTGATTCTTCGCTTTTTCCTGTCATTGTCATCTTAATGTTGCTAGTATTATCTAGGGGATGGACAATAAGCACATTAGCAGTTGCATTTCCACAGAGACTTAGACTTACCTTATCATAACAGTAAAAAGATAAGGAAATGGTATTGTAATACAAACAAGGGATCTATCCTTGATTTAAGCCTCAGATTTGGTTTTATAAAACTGTACATTTATTTGTAGGACCCAATCAAGGATTACTACCTACCAATGAAGAATCTTGTTGAGTGGTTTTCTGAAGATGTGGTGAACAGGAAACGAGAAGAAATACAACAATTGTTACTTAGACTCTTGGTGCAGAATAACGTGGATATCGAGAGTTTGAACTTGCCAAAGTTGTCTTTCTCTGGTAACCATTCTGAATCTGAATCACAGGTATGTAGTTAATGTTTATTGCTTTGGAAAATTCCTCTTCATATAGTTTGGGAAAAGAGAGGTGCTGTGTAAATTTGCATGAACATTGAAAATATATATCATCTGAAGTACATACTTGTGTTTGGTGTTTTTATATTATTATTTATACGAACAAAGTTCAAAAAGCACTTTTCAGTCAGTCGATTCTGCCTGAATCTCTTCTGTCGTCTCAAATCTCCTTCCCTTTAGCTGAATTTTCATCTTTGGGAAGAGGAAGAAGTCACACGGAGCTTAGAAAGGAAGTTGGGGTCGGTTCTTGCAAGATCTTTGAGCTCCTGACAAACGAGAAGTCGATTCTGCTTCTGGTCCTCAGACAGGATGTGTCGCATGTGGAGTTCTTCCTTTAGAATTAGCTGACAGGTCCCATAGCCTATCCCAGCAATGTCGCACAAGTCGTTGATGGTACGACGTCGATCTTCGTGAATGGTCTGCCGAATCTTCGTAACATTTTCGGGCGTTGTGCTCGAAGATGGTCGTCCAGAACGCTCGTCATCATCGCCAGGGGTTCGGCCATTTTTAAAACGTGAATGCCCCACAAAAGTTTGTGCACGACCCATTGCGGACTCCCCAAATGCTTGCTTTAGCATTTCATAGGTTTCCGTAGCCGTTTTGGCGAGTCTTTGGCAAGAGATTCAGGCCGAATCGCAGATGGTGCTTGACAGGCTGACAAAGAAAGGTTTCCAGGGATGCTTCCAGGCTTGGCAGCGGCGCTGGGATCGTTGTGTTCACTCCCAGGGGAACTACTTCGAGGGTGATGGATGAATTTAATACCTGAGATAAGTGTACAGGTTTTTATACGCGCAGTCTTGAAACTTTCCGATCGCACCTCGTATAGCTGGCATGTTACATGGCTCCCTTGTCACAATGGCATGGCATGTCCTCAGTTTTCAGATGGAAGAGAAGGCCTCCAGATGTGGAGGGTAGCTACATATGTATTGAACAAGCATTCATATAACTGACAAGCTTGTTTATTTGAGGGGGGGAGGGGAGGCTAGCATCTCCTTTCCACAAAAATCAAAATGTTTTACATGGCCTCAGACTTTGACTGATTCCATGGAACAACTGAAATGGTGGAAAATGGATATAGCTTATCAGATGTGGTGGTGGAGGGTGTGGACAGAATATTTCTGACTCAGGATAGGGACTGTTGATAGCTTCTCGTGAACATGGTAATGAACTTCCAGGTTCCATGTTAGGTGAGGAATTTCTTGACATGCTGAGTGACTTATATAGCTGAACCACATCTGACAACATGTACATTTAGCCTTCCAAGGTGTGTCAGCTACACATTTTACAGTTAAATTCAGTAGTTTGACTCTACATTCACCAGATGAATGTCAGAGCCAAGTACCTGTTATACTTCAGATTTTATATAATTTTATGATATTTGTCTTATGGTATTTGCTATGATTATTATATTTGAAACTTTTGACATTTGTATGCATTTCAGTTTCATGGTTTTTGTTTATTTATTAATCATCATTAAGTAGATGGTTAATCTTTAAAGGGTATGTAATGCATAAATGCATCACTAATGTGACTGGCAGAGTACTGTGTAATGATTCTGCATCCTGGGGAAAGGAATTAAAACAGAATATAGACAATTGTAAATGAGGCGACTATAATTTTGAACTCTGCCTGAAAGATACTACGTGGAAATGTTGATGGAATTGTGTTAAAATGAATCATAGAGAAATATGGTATGTGTGTGGTATTATTAGCTGTTCTTCACACTCTGGTAGGAGCAGATGGGCCATCCATTTATGTCATATTTCTTGTTTACTTTCAGAGATAAAAGTGTAACA